GGTCTTGCGCCAATACACCTGGTCTTGGTCTTGGTCTTGGTCTTGCGCTCCCAGTCTTGGTCTTGGTCTTGGTCTTGCAGCAAGAGTCTTGCAAGTCTTGCAAGTCTTGCAATTACCTATTAGTCTATTACTATTTATTACAGTTTACTTTAAATCCTAGAAAAACGTATTAGAATTGGAACATTGTGAGCTTGAATGAATATAGCCATAGCCAAGCAGATTAATAAATAACTGAAAATTTGATAAGAAATTCGAAAAATCAACTGACCTATATGTCGTTTTCCATGGAAGTAACTGTTTCTTAATAAACATTTATGATTTATAAGCTTACATTTGCTAAAACTCAAACTCTCGTTACTCGGACTAGAATAATTTGAATCTTCGTCACTCATGAAATTGTACACGTGATACGATTTTAGAAAACAACGAGAATTAGTAAAAACAATTATTAAGTTAGACTCGAAGCACAGCTCAATTGGAAATGACTGGAATTAAAATAATTCCTTTGTTTATAGTACGTTTCCTTGCTTTCTACCGCGCCGCCTCGCCACGTGCCGGCTCTATGATAAGGATGCCGCCGCAAATCAAACAATAATATAAAGCGTGTAAAAAAATTCGAAATTATTTTGCATGAGTATACCTACGCCCTATGGCGGCAATCAAATAGTGTCAAATGTTATGATTTCGGCGTGGCGGCAACGATTGTTTTAGATTTCAAAAGAAGCCGCCGGCGCGTGTATCATAACCATGTACTTCCGAAAAGCGGCAAATTTCTTTGAGAAGTAAGTACAAAACCTTTGATGCCGCATTATCAAAGTGCCGATGGTTAAAACATAACTATGCATGCACTCAGTTTGATTTTAATAATTTTTTTATTCGCTATGTTTATGGTATTAGTCGTAATGCGCATAGGTCCAGTTTTTCATATTCTTTGATACAGTTTTTTGCGTCTCATAGAATTCCTAAGCGTAACTACCTATACACCGAACTGTTACACCTAACTACTCAGTGAAATAGCGCTAAGTCCTAGCTGCAAGACGCAAGAGTCTTGCAGGCTATGTCTTGTTCTTGCTCAAGTCTTGCACGGTCAGTCTTGGTCTTGGTCTTGCTAAAAATACGCGGTCTTGTTCTTGGTCTTGTTCTTGCAAAAACGCAAGAACAAGACCAAGACTGCAAGACCAAGACTGAATTTGGGCAACACTAATTAAAATATTAAATTACAAAAGCTCTCAGTTCGATATCTGTTAGATATTACTGAAAGCTCATAAGACGGGCTTTTTTTTTCAATTTATCTTGTCCTGTTCGCGTTCAGAAGGAACTATTAGTCCATATAAAAATACTAGAAATATCATTAATATTATAATCTACAAGTTAACGGATTTTCCCTTCTTCGAGCCTTTTATTTCTCGCTTACCTCGGCTCGGTAGTGATTTAATAAAATACCTCCTGTTTTTACTGAGTACAGTTTGTTTACATTTTATATAGAAATCGCTATTTTCCTCTGTCCCGCTCTGTCTGCGATGAGCTTTAACCGTGGCCTTATGTAGAAATGACGCTTTTACGCCGACAGCCGCGACAAGGTTTCGTGTTAAGAGTCGTAAAAGTGTCGATACCAAATGTATGATTTAAGTGACGACGCATAGTGTTTCGAATCGCCCCGCATACGCGCTCCGCGCTCTTCTGCCGCGTAAAGAGGTGCATTTTAAATTATGAAATGATGAATACAATAATGTTCTTTTTGTAAATCGAATATTAATAATATATTACTTTCCCTATCTTAATGTCTCGATATTTATTTTCTTCTTAAGGAAGCCTTCACAATATTGCAATATCGACACATGTATTTGGGCCTATATAGCTCTTAGGAAAGCGTACCAGTGTGCTGCACTCTATATTAAAATGACATTACGTCTCGTAAATACGTTGAAATAAACTCGTCGCTGAAATAATAAGGCTCGGTGAGGTTTGAAAAATATTTTTGACCGGACCGCGGACGGTCAGAGCGGCCCCGAGCGACGTCAAAGGAGATTTGGCCTGTTTACCGCGTTCCTATCTTACCAGGGTTGCCGACCTGTAAAAAGTCACGTGAAAAGCTACCGAAATACAAATAATATTGCAATACACCGAGATTCAAAATCTCACGTGCAGGAAACTAGTCTTCCGCGAATTTGTAGAAATGGCTTGGGGATACTGGTCCGCGTCTTCCGTGCTTCCGGACAGAGGGCGGAGCCCCCGTCGCGCCGGGACCTCCGTCGCGCATTCACATCCGAATCCGCCGACCGCGAGGGACGTGATGGAGGCGCCCGACGAGAGTATCATCCACACCGCGTCGACGTCGCGGGATAGCCGGGATCATTCGGCGTCTCCCCACTCGTCTTCCAACGGCGGCCACTCTCATCACCACGAAGTGCGACACGCGGTCCCCGCCAGTGCGTTGTTCGGTGAAAGTTACGGGGAACTGTCTCGACGACCGTCCCTCGACCTGGGGTCCGTGAGGAGCGCGTTGGCGTCGTGCTCCGGCGGGGGGACGTTGAGCGCGGGATCGACGCTGACGCGCGGGGGCACACTGGCCGACTATTTGCCGCCGGCGCCGTGTCCGCACCACCACCGCGTGTACGTGGACCACCACAAGCACTACGAGCAGCCCATTCAGCCCGTGCACGTCGGGGTGACCCACCACTCCCACTCGCACTCGCACGCCTCCAGTCGCCATCACACGGACGACGAAGACGACTTGGAGCCGGCCTACGCTACAGGTACAAAAGAAAGTCTCTTTTCTTTCTTCCACTAGAACGATCCCGACCGATGTTTAGGCCTTTTCTCTTCCTATATACGTCGTTATGTGCAACCCGCAGATTTATTAAATTTACAAATTAACTTATACCAATAATCATCAGTAGTTCAAAGGACGTGCACGTGAAGATATCGGGAACTATGTAATCTGATGAAGAGCTGATCGGAAAAGATATTCACCTTCACTGTGTCTTATTTAAACTAAGTTTACATTTCTTACAATAGAACTGTTATAGGTATGTTGTATTGAGACGTCATCGGACTTGTTAAAAAATTGAAGTC